GATTGAGCATTACCAACACTTGTTCCCAATACTATGTGAGATTGAGCCTTAAATAGTGATATTATTTGTGAATTATAGTTAATGATTTTAGTATTTGTATGAAAAGTATTTGTGGTTCGTTTAGTTTTCATGCAATTCTAATTTATTTTCAATTGATTGTAATTGCACGATAACAATTTTTTTTATTCTCGCGAGTAATGCAATTTTTTTGAATGTTTTGCTTAAAATTGCAATAATCGCGATTGATTGTAGATTGACTTTTAATTATGACATATTTAATCGTATAATACTAATACAATTGGTTGCTGATTCAGTTGTTTTAAGGTGCATGATTGTTAATTGTTTCCTGAATAATCACATAGTATTGGAAACAAGTGTTGGTAATGCTCAATTCCACATAGTATTGGAAACACTATTGGGAATGGTATTTAAGGCTTGGCTTTCCCACTTCCTTGTTGAGTGATAGAGAACAAAGGGGACTCTCGCGCGCCGCTGCCGTCCGTCTCGTCTCATGGTCGTGGTCGTGGTAATACATGTCTTCGACACGTACGCGCGAATACTATCTTTTTAGAGAAAATTCTTAAGAAACAAATGCAATACCACCAGTCGTTGTGATTTTGGACTATCGCAACGAATTTGGAATAAATTGCAATGCGAACTTGGACTATCGCAACGAATTTGTGATAAATCGCAACGCGAACTTGGACTATCGCAACGAATTTGGAAAATCGCAACGCGAACTTCGACTATCGCAACGCGAACTTGGAATATCGCAATGCGAATATGTAAATCGCAATGCGATAGTCGAAGTTCGCGTTGCGAATCTGGAAACTGATTTGCGATACCGGAGATCGCATTACGAATTATCGATCGCATTGCGATTTAGTTGGTCATTTTGGCAAATCCAAAAAAAGTTGGTTAAAATCGTATATTATAAGGCATTTTTTGTTACTGAGGTTATTTTCTCATTATAATATATATATATATATATATATATATATATATATATATAATATAAGTTTATATATAAATTATATTTATATTATAAACTATATAATTATTATAAGCTATATATATACATAAATTTTGTTTATATAAACTATATATGTATAAGCTATAAAAGTATATAGTTTATAAACTATAATTTATATTAATATATATATATATATATATATATATTAAACTATATAAAATATATAGTTTATAAAATATAATTTATATTAATATAGTATATATATGTATGTATAACTAATATAAGTAATCTATATTATATTATATATATATAGTTTATAGAAATATTATGCATAAACTATATAAAGTAATAAAATATATATTTTATAGAAACCCTAAACCTTAAAACTCAAAATCAATCCATAATTCCTAAAACACTAAACCCTAAACCCTAAATTATATATGTAACTTATACTACATGTATATAAAAAATATGTATAGTATATATAAACTATATATGTATATATATATATAAACTATATAAAGTAATAAATTATATAGTTTATAGAAACCATAAACCCTAAATATTAAACCATAAATCTTAAACCTTAAACCCTAAACTATATATATATAGACACATTTGATAATTCATATATAGTTTATATAAACAATAGTTTATATAAATTATATATGTAACATTAATCTATAGTCTATAAACAATAGTTAATATATGTAACATATAGTATATGTATACATGTAAACTATATATGTAACTTATAGTACATATATATATAAACTATGTATAGTATATATAAACTATATATATATATATATATATAACCTATAGTATATGTATATATACAATCTATTTATATGTTATATAAACTATATATGTAACCTATAGTTTATAAACAATAGTTTATATTAGTGTACTATATAGTTTATACTTTATAATCTATATTATATAATTTATAAACTATAGTTTATATTAATGTTAATTATCTTAACTGTAATTTATATTAATATAGTATATAGTTTATAAACTAACTATATAATTTATAAAATATAGTTTATATTAATATTAATTTTATAGACTATATTTTATATTAATATTAATTATATAAATATTAATTATAATATATAATTTATATTAAGGGTGTGAATTAATCTTTAAAGGCGGGAACTTATTTTCAAAAAAAAATTTAAGGGCGGGAACTAATCTTCACTTTCCATGTGACATGTTTCAATTTTCAATCATTATTGATTTTTGATTTGCATTAATATATTTTCAATTGCCATTGTTGATTGTTGGGTCAAATTAAAACTACATAATTGTTCAATGCCAATATTTTTATTAATCATATTTTCGAGCTGCTCACGAGCTTTTCGAGTCGAGTATCAAGTAGCTCGTTTCAGCTCGTTAAGAATTCGAGTCGAGTCTATTTGATCCGAGTATTTATCGAGCATTGACCGAGTCGATCTCGAATAGCTCGCGATCTGTCTCATCTCGTTTACAGCCCTATTTACAGGTAATGTTAAAAACAAGCCAGGTTCATCATAGGTCATGTTGAAAACAGGTCGGGTAATATCAGTAATTTACCAGGTCAACATCGGGTTCGGGTTTATATTAGTCGGATACAGGTCGGGTTCGGATATTATTTTTTCGGTTCAATTTGAGTTCAGGTCGTTCTCAGGTCGGGTTCAGATCTACAATTTCCAGGTCCAACTCAGATTCAGGTAAACACCAATTCCGACTCGAGTCGGTTTCGAATCGCTACAACGTAGGTTAAAAGCAGTTTTAACTCGAGTCAGTTTCAGTCAGTTTTACAGGTGGGGTCATCTTTTTACAGCCCTATTCTCAATTGGCTCCCACCCATAATTCTTCTAATGCTTCAGTATAACTTTCTCCTCCTCTGCCTAGTGTATCATCACCCTGATCACGATTCTGATCATATTGTTCAGCAGCCAGTTTCAAATAACCCATCATATATTTCACTTCGATCTTCATCTAGGGTATCTAAGCCTTCACATTAATTGAATCATTATGTTCTTTCCTGTCAATCCGCTTCTCTTTCAGATCAGAATCCTATTTCTAAGGCCATTTTTTACTCCTATTTACCTAATGTTGTTTAATTATATATTTTTTCTATTTCTCAAGCCTTTAAGCCTCAAAATTATACGGAAGCCAAAGTTGATACCAAATGGGTAGAAATAGGAGTGTTAAAAAATATCTGATTCGAATGACCCGCCGATCTAATTTAAAATTATCGGATATTTATAGTGAAAATATATGAATTTTCAGGTTAGATATTGGACCCGTTATTTTTGGCAGATTTTTGGGTTTAAATTTATTGAATTGTATTGAATTATGATTAAATTGATAGAATATATAAATTTTAATATTAAAATTATTATCGCACGAACCAAGAGATCTTATTAGTTAAAGAATTGTCTTTATTCCTTGAAGTCCTGAATTTAAGTCCCGAGTTTTTGAATATAAATTATCTTGTATCATCTCATACTAATTTAAGACATGTGCCATGATTTATAAAATAATAATATAATTCATGGTTTTTAATTTTATAATTTGAGTGAAGGTCAAAGTAAGGTTTAAACCCAAATATGTGATAAAATGTAAAACAAATAATTGGATACATATACTTTTTAATATTCTTGGGTGAAGGTAATATTTTTTAATTATTAATAATATACAATTTTTATAAATATTAACCGATTTTGATGGAATTTGATGGAGAGCTTATTAACAGATTTTGATAAGTTGAAGCGAGTGAAGTGAGAGTTTCCTTTTTCTTAGTCGCGTATGTTTGTGGGGAGTGGTCAAACTCAATTTGCCACCGCGTTTGAATTTTGACGGCTTTTGTAGTTGACTTGGAAGCCACCGTATTTGAGAAGAAGGAAAACCAACGCGCTACTTCCAATCTCACTCACTCACTCAACCACTTTCCTTCAACTACTCGTTTAAAATACCCCCTCGCTCCTCAACTCACAATTCTTCATTTCCAGCTCATCTTCCTTTTCATCTTCACTCTTCCAATTTCCATGGCTTTACAAGCTCTTAACTCTCCAACTTCACTTCCCTTTCAATCTCATGTTCATTGCCTCCACTCTTTCACCAAGGGTAAGCGTTCTAAGCGACCTCGTTTTGACCAGGAAGACGAATACCTCGCACTCTGCCTCCTCATGCTCGCACGCGGCGCTTCAGACAACTCCACCGTACAACCCCCCCAAGAAAAACTTGGCTTCAACTGCAGTGTTTGCAACAAGGCCTTTCCCTCCTACCAGGCTTTGGGTGGCCACAAAGCCGGCCACCGTGATCTTATGGCCGCCAACTATGACCGCTCAACGTCAACGACCACCTCTTCCACATCCAGCGGTAGATCCCACCAGTGTTCCATCTGCCACAGAAGCTTCCCTACGGGGCAGGCCTTGGGTGGCCATAAGCGACTCCACTATGAAGGTGGCAAAGCTAACAGCGGGACCACATCTAAGAAACTAGGCTCCAGCAGTAGTACCAGCCAGAGGGGCTTCGACCTGAACCTGCCGCCTCTGCCGGAATTCTCGAGGACCAACTTCTTTGCTTCCGACGGTGATGATGAAGTGGAAAGCCCACACCCTTTGAAGAAGCCACGTCTCGTGATACGGATTCCACACAAAATGGAAGTCAACTAAACAAATACTGGAAATTTTTTCGAGGAAATTACACTACTCATTCCCTCTTTTTGATTTGTTGAACCAATATTCTTTACCCTGTATATAGCATTTGAAGAATTCCCCAACTCTCTCAATTGCTATCGTTCAATTAATTTTGTTTTAGTTCAAATATTATTTCATGGTTTCCAGCTAATTGGGAATCTTCATTCAATCAAGTTTGTTACATCTGTTACCATTACTATATCCAAGGTTTAATTATGAGAGATGTGCATCATTCATTTTATGAAAAATGAAAGCAACCAAATACAAAGGCTTATATATACCAAGAATCATTGTCCAACATCATTTATATATATATATATATATATGTACACACTTTTCTTTGACTGGCCTATGCAAAATAAGAACCGAAGGTACCTAACCCAAGGATAGTTCCTTTCAAACTACATTTTAACGTTTCAATACAAAGTCCATAATATCATATCTTCATGCTTGTGAAATTCAATCAACTATGGAAACCTTTCTTCTTACCTTTGGAATCATAATTTGGGTTGGTATTGAATTTAAATCAGACAATTTTGTTGTCAAAGGTGGGAGATAACTGGTTTAGTTGTAAAATGAGCGTTCTAAGGCTACATTCCTTCACCTGGTAATTACATAACCCATAAGTTTTGAAACGAGTTTTATGTACCCCCAATAAAACACACCAGAATAGAAATTTACCCGCATGGCTGCAATTGTTGGCAATACTTGTTTGCATCGATAGAGTAAAGCAAGCTCGTTTGTGCTTAAATTTCTAACTTCTGACACCATGGTGTTAACTTCTGCAACCTAACCACAGAAGAAAAGACAGAAATTACATGCAAGCATAGAGAACCGATGAAAATCGATAAAAGCTGCTTTAAAGGGAAGATCTATTGTAATTAACTCATCTCAAATTCAAATGAACAAATCCAAGAAGTGCAATTTGATCAACCTATATCACGTTTACTACTGGTACAACTCTGTGCAAACAAGCCGTTAAAAGCTAACACCATATCAATTTCATCAGCTGCTGTAGTTAAATGATTTTACAAACATAAAATTTTATGTTACTAGGCGAACTTATAAAATTTTAGCGGCCGAAAACAGATTATCAATAAAAAATAAAACGAAAATATTTAAAATATATATGAATTTGAAATTTTCAACAGTACGACAGCCGCTCAGTCCATCACTGTGTCAGACAAGCTCTAAGGTTTATGTTCATACGATACTTGAAATTGTGGGTATGTACGGTGATGAAAAATATTCTATGCAGAGCACGAAAAGGGTAACAACCATAAGACAAATGTTGATCTATTTGTTGATAAAGGCTACAAAATTAAGAAAACATGGAAACAAACTATCCAAATAATAATCTGGTTCCTGTCGTATGGATGATTATTTTCATTCCACCTGGTTAACAAAGTCAACCAAATGCCCGCTTATCATTCAGAAAGATTAGGTGTCAAAGTAAGAACAAAAGAATTAAACCAAGGCCTTTTATACAAAGGATAAAAAAATAAGAACGCCCACCGTGGGGCTCGAACCCACGACCACAAGGTTAAGAGCCTTGCGCTCTACCGACTGAGCTAGACGGGCTTGGTTGTTGAACTTCTAGGCATAACTATTGTTTATCATTTTATAAATTAATCCGAGCCAAAGACCCTACCTACCCAATCCCCATTATTCATAAGTAGACGCAAAATCTAACATGTTTCAACACATATAAGAAACCTATCAAAGGTTTAATTATGAGAGAAGATGTGCATCAAAAGCTAAACCCATCATCATTCATTATATGAAAATGAAAGCAACCAAATACAAAGCTTATATACTAAGAATCCTTGACTAAAATTCGAAACACCGTTTATACATATTTACACACTTTCCTTTGACTGGCCTATACAAAATAAAACTAGAAAGGAAAGGTACCTAACCTAATTTCACTTCCTTTCAAACTACACCTTCAGAAAGACATTTATCAGTAACGAAAGAAAATCTTATACATGGCCAAACCGTTTTAATTATAGAGAGCATGATACCCACAAGAATAAAAAGGATTAATCAACCTTTAGGTGTTTGCCAAAGAATGTGTCTGCACTATCTTATTATTAAATTAACTTTTGTCTAAACTACTGCTTAGGAAAAAATGAGTCTGCAAATAAAAGGGGACCAAAGGAAACTCCGAAGTTTGGGCATTAAAGAATGAAGGGTAAGGGGAGGAAAAAGGGATGAGGTCAACAAAAGAAAGATTTACCTTTGATAATAATGACCATATGGAGGATGCTATTGCCTGCATTACATTAACTGCTGAAAATATTGCTTCCTTCAATTTTGGGATATCAGCCTGTACAAATAAGACGACAAGCAAGTTTTTCTCCCCCTTCTTTTTAAGACCCACATAAAGTAAAGCATTGACAGCGGAGATGCTAAAGCTTAAAGGAAATGATCAAATTTCAGAATAAGGAACTTACTCTTGCCCCACAAACTACTGGAAGGCGGAGTGTGCTTGCCGTCAGAGCTTCGATAGCCCCAGACAAATAACTGCAATAATCATGGTCCAGGACAGCCCATTCATCCAAAAAGATCATCTGCACTTATCAATGAAAATAATATGCTATAAATAAAAAAGCACACAATTTCTTGAACTGAAACATGCAATCCAAATAAGATATGGCAGACAATGAAAAACTAGTAACAATTGAGTTAAGATCAACAAAATAATCAGAAATCTTAAAACAAACAAAGAAAAAAATCAAGCCAACAGTAAACACATCTAGTAGGGAGCTATCGTTCTTACTTGCCCCTTGAGGATGGAAATCAGCTTCAAATTTTGCCTCAGCAATTGTAATTCATTTCTTTTGGCTCTAACAGATTCTAGCAGTTTTGAGGTAGTAGTCCAAGCATTATGGAGGCTTTTCTGTAATAGGAACATGTTTAAAGAATTCATCCTCATTTTTACTAATTTCAAGGAAGATAATCATTTTCAAAAAAAAAAATCAAGGAAGATAATCGAAAAACTTGAATTGTTAGTAAACCGAGAAACAAGAGATGGTTAAAAAGAGATAGATGTACATGTATTATTGATGACTTTTCTGTTATACGAACATGATGACAAAGGATTCTTCATCATATTTTAACACGATCAAACTCGTTTTAAGCCACAAAACAACCCTGCTGCTTGCACGCTACAGAATTTCTACACCACAAAAGTAATTATAACCAAAAAGCCAGAATGCCAAGCGCTCTAGCAGAAGTGGCCTGAATAGTTTCAGTTCTAACAAGAAAACACTTTTTTTCCCACAGCACATAATTCAACTCAGTTTTGTTGGCCAGGTTCTAGAGTTTTTTAATGAAAATTTTCAAATTCCAGGCAGTATGGGCAAGATAAATTGTGACAAGCCAGGCAACTTTCTCACAATTTAACATAACATGAAACCATGATACTATATAATAATAAAAGTAAATCTTAACCATAATCCTCAAAAGGTGATGGAATGCAACATTAACAGCTACGAGTTGTGCTGCCAAATTACACTAAGAGGGAATACCTATGAATGTTGAAACAGTACAGCATGCAAACTTGAAGCATACAAACAACAAGGTAGCAATAGGACAAAGCGAGCTACTTAGTTGAATACAACAAGAGAGAAATTCGAAGTCAATACCTCTGTGTTAGACCTTTTGGAAGACAGAGTCGCATCTGCTCTAGCATTAACAAAACGCCACTGCAACAAATGGTTATGGAGTAACCTCAATAAATGAGCATCCGAAACTTTGTTCTCTCCAATCTTAATAGCATCACCAACTAAGCTCAAAATCGATGGCCTATTTACCAAATTATCACCCAACCCAAGCTTACTCGGTGATGCAGGCCGAACTGGCCAATGAATTGACCATAACTGGCCTCTGCTGTTCGATACACCTTTTGGAGACGACAAAGGACTGTCAGTTCCGTACTTGTCTCGTACAATTTGCTTAGAACGTGCTGTATTTTTCTTAGGAACCGGATAACCAGGATCGGACCGGCATAAACGATTAGCAGTATCTTGCCAGGACCGAGCCGAAACCATTATTCCCCGAGGCCCACGCTTAACATCACCGTCTACGGAAGAACTTTCTGGAGCTCCTGGAGTACTACCAGAAGAAACACTTCCGGTATCAGAAGCCGCGAGATCATATTGAGGCTTAGATTTAACGGGAGTAACGGCTGTTATTTCTCTATTATCAGTCATGGAGAGCTGCAGTGCCCTAACTACATTGCCGTTAACAGAACGGTTAAAACTCTTCCTCTCGTCGGTGCAATCAACGCTTCCACTAGTAACCGAATTTGATAGCCTTAACTTTGCCGGCCACCGCTCCGCTTGCTCTGTTCCTTTCCGTGGAGTCGTTGCTACCGTTGTCTTCCACCTCTCCGGCGTCCCTTTCGTTGCCGCGCTTGGTGATGGAGCTGGTTTAGCTTTCCTACACTTATAGGAAAACGGCTCACCATGAGACGAAACGGATAAATCACATTTGTTACTGTTGTCACCGTTACTAGTTTTCAAATCCAAAGAATTACTAGGCAGCGGCGTCACCGCATGTCTCCTCTCCACTGCTTGCGACCGCTTGCTAGCCAATGGAGTCGTGCGTTTTGTCGTGGTCATGGCCTTCGAATGAGAAGTCCTCGTCGAAAATAACGTCAGAGGACAGATTTTGGTGGGAGGCGAGGAAGAATTTGATGAGGACGTTGACATATAACGAGAGGTGAACTTTCCGGATTTTTTACGACAAGGAGTGATGGCATTGTCGGGGTCGGAGGTCAACAGCGGAGGCCGCGGCGCGTTTTGGTTTAGCGGAAGCCCTCCTCCGAGCTGTTTGGGTTTTACCGCTGCGGAAACGGCAGCAGCAACCATTGCCGGCTTCTCAGAAAATTCAATTCCACAGTCTGATTCTTTAATCTCACTCTCCTCCCAATTCCTCCAAAAATTTACTTCCAATTATATATTTATTTTTTTTTTAAAATGAAAAATCAGAACTCAGACAGTTTAGGATTTATGTTTTAAAAACATTGGAATTGAAAATATTTTTTTTCTTTATAAAGTTGGAATTTGCAGAGAGAAAAAGAAAAAGGAAGGGCGGGAAAAGTAGCGTTGGCGTCCAAAGAGGGAGCGGAAAAACGAGAAATGTTTGGCTTAGGATAGCATAAGGAGTATGGAGATTTTAATTAGTGATTTTAAAGTGTGAGGGGGGAGACGGGGTTTTATTCGCGTGGAGGAGGGACAAGGTGTGTTGTGCAAGTGAATTGGAGAACTCCTTACACGTGTAAGCTACTTTTGTTGTTTTTATTTTAATCGTGGAACTTGGTCATAAAATTTAGGGATTTAAACTTTCAAAAGATTTAAAGATTACATTAAAATTTTAAAAAAAATTAAAGAGTTAAGTTTACATTTTTTACAAAAATAAAGTTTGGGGCCAAACTAAAATTTTTGAGGTTTTGAGAGATTTGATGGGAATTTTTAAAAAATATTGGAGAGTTTAATTAAAAATATTCAAAAATTTTAAATTTAATCTGAATTTTTAAAAATATTATGAGAGAGAAATTGAATTTTTTAAAATTTTAAGAGTCTAATTTATATTTTTTAAATTTTAGAGGGACCGTGGTTCCATTAGTCCTAATGCCTCTGATTTTAGGATATGATTATATGGAAGTAATGTTAACCTTACGAGTGACGTTAACCTTACGATAGTTAACTAGTAAAATCATCATTAGTTGAAAAATCAGTAGACGGAAGTAATGTTGAATTTAGTAAAAGTAATGTATTAAATATAAGAATTTCTAAATCAGTAGTTAGATAGTTAACTAGTGATGCGAATAAATAAATAAACAAAATTTAGAAAAAGAAAAGAAAAAGGCTGACGGAAGTGCGATCGAGGCATTCCGAATAATTAATCTGGTAGATCTCATAAAGCAAGCTTGTTAAGTATATTTAAAAACAAAAAAAATTAAAGTTGTTTTTACTCAATGGGTAAAGGCATACTTTGGGGTGCAAACAAGAAGACCTTCTTTGAGTTCTTCCAACTCCACCTCAATCCCCCACCAAACAGTTTACTATTTTAACTTTAAATAATTATTAGACATATTAACCCTAAATTTTGTTCATAAACATGGCTTTCCTTGAATGATAATATGTGTTATATGTTCGAAGAAAATTTCTCCATTCGTCGGGACGTTTGATTAGTTTGTATTCCTTAAATATAAATTTATGATTAGTTATAAAGTATGGATAAGACCTCTAATAAGTAAGTCACTCGATAACACCACGTGATGCGTTAGAAAAAAAAATTAAAATCTAATTATCAGATCTACTTAATCTGTTGAACTATAAAAAGTCATGATGATCCTATAAATTAAGGTTAACACGTACTAAAAATCACTATAAATACTCCAATCGCAATTAAACAAGGAGATGAATTGACCGTAACCGACCAACCTTTTTTTCTTATGATAATCTTCTTCTTCTCTCGTTCAAATATCAAATAATAATCTCTCATTAACTACAATTTCCCATAATTACACATGAACATAACATTAATGGCCAATCATTAATCTACTGATACAAACCTATATTATTCCTTTTCGTTTCCCACGCTTTTACTTCAAATAACCTTTTCTTACTAAATCTTAATCTTATAAATTGTATTTTAATAAGAGTTCTAACTTAGATCTTAAAAATGACATTGTTAAGATATATATATCTAGATAAATTAATGTCTATAAATCAAATCAAACTTACATATTAGATTAACACTTCATGCTTACTCAAGCCCAAACTGACTTGAATTAAATTATTGCAAATAAAAAGTAATATACTTTAACTACATGTTATAATTAATTAATCAAATATAAAATCACAAAATATAAATAATTTAAATAATTAAACTTTTGACTATATAAAAACCTAAATTTATACTGATGTTAATAAATATGATTTTATATTAATTTATAAGATTAATAAATATAAATTATGATTAATTATATATTATATTAAATATTATAGCATCTCAAGCTATTAATTTATAGCTTGAGAAAATATTTTGAACCCAATTGTAAAATAAAAATATTAGACATAATTATTTCGAGCGCATTTGGATATACATGTTAGTTATAATATATGATGATAATTCAACATATTTTAAATTTAGAAATCAGTACGAACCAATTTACTTCAGTGGTTAAAGGAATTTTTGTTGTTCTTAGATGTTACATGTTCGAGCACGAGCGACTTCAAGGGTGATTGAATGTTCATTATCATATGGTTAAAACTATTTAATATATATAATACTTTGTAATCACTTTTAGTAAAAATAGATAAATTTAGAAATTGAGTTGAGTCAGTCTTGAATGTTAGTATTTGAGTCCAATTTATATATTAAACGAGTCTAATTTTTTGTTTAAATTATTTTTAAATCATTATATCAAAAAAAAAATCAAATCTAATATCATTCTTCAAATTTTTAAGATAACTCAACCTTTAAATATAGATAATAAAACTTATACGAAAAATTTAGAAATATTAAATTTGATATGAGCTTATCAAAATTCCAGTTCTGCGAGAAGATATGCGAACATATTACGTTCGAAACTTTAAAGATGCGAATGTAAGGTGTCGAAACGATTTTTCCTTAAAGGTGAGATTTTGAAAATCACATTATTTTTTAATTTACCTCTTTCAATTGATTTAATTAAAAAACAAATGCGATTTAAAAACCTTTCGTTTCGAAAAAATTTTGGATTTCCTTTACGATCGAAAAAATACGGTTCAAAGAGTCGTCACCAATCTTTGATTAGGGTGTGATTGGGCACCCAAAAATGTTTGTTATTTTAAATAAAAATTAATTTTAATTAAAACAACAAATTAAGGTCTGTGTTACCAAAATCCGAGTTCGAGAGTCGGTTACGTGCAGGGAAGGATTAGCACCCCCACAACGCCCTAAAACGATACATAGTCGATTAATTAATGTCTTTGCAATGAACTTTACAAATTCTAATTTAATTTGATTTTTTGATCCCATAAAACAAAGATGTAAATTTAAAAACATTCAAAAGCACTCAAATGAATTAAATTAAAATTACCAAGTCGTTTTAGAAAGATAAAGAATATTCGATTATTTACAAATATCGAGACCAGATCTTAAAAGCTACAACAACCTTTTCTTGATAAATTTAAATAAACGAACATTTCATTTTCTTTCGTTCCCAAATTTTAGGTGACGAATCAATTTTTGGTTTCACTTTCGGGATACACTTTTAACTTAAAATGGTCATAACGGCCCTCTAATCAGTTAAGACAGGCCACTTAAGACAATTTTAAATTAAAAGGGTATTACCCTTAGTCCGATTACGTAATAGGTCGAGTTATGCACGTGAGGGTATCATACAAATTGTGCAAAAAGTGGATGTCATGCCAAAATTAATTATACAAAAATTATATATATATATATATATAATGATTATCTAATTAATGAACAACCTAAGTGTACATGCATACATATCATCATCATTCAACCATATTAAGCATACATTCGAAACGAACCCTAAATAACTATACATACATAGGCATAAAAACTTAAGCATGAACTAAAACGTAAAGAAAACTAATTTAAGGTTAAAACCTAAATAACGTAATAACGTAAACAACATACTATTGTAAAAATGATAAAAAAAAAAGTAAAAGAACTTAAAGACATGTGACCAAATTAAAATGGGAATGTAAATCTGATGCTAAAGTAACAAACTGTACAAACATTGAGTCATGACACAAAAGAAATAATATTCCAAGCACCAAGATTGTAATTTGTCCATTAAAAAAACAGAGGATTAAAATGTAACAAAATAACATTATGAGCCTCGTAGGTGAGAATAAATCATACGCATACATAGGGTTAAAATACAAAGTTTCCGAAATTGCATGTTCGATGTATAAATAAGTAAAAATTAAAATTAACCAAATCTAGGACTATAACGGAACACGCATCAACTTAAGAGCTATAAACAACAAATTTAGAAATTAATTTAGGGACCAAAATATGAGCTTTTGAAACCTAAAGGATCAATCGATTAATTCCTTAACTTACGAAACGTCGCCGTTTTGAACATCCCATATATTTAATTTTTAAGGCCAAAATAAACCCTAATTTCATTTGCATTAAGCCAACCCTCTCCCCTCAGCCGTTTCTCTTCTACTCTCTTCTCTGGTTCGATCGAGACCCCCTCCTTCACCATTCAACGCCACCTGCTGGAGCCCTCCGGACACCATACCCCACAACTCAATGACCTAAACTAACCATCTAGTAAACAAAAAAAAAACAGACCCTAAGCCTCTCGAAACTAAACTAAGATTGCTCCCCTCCTAACGCTAAATTCTACTCTCATCTCCTTCTATCTCCGGCAAAGACCCAAACAAACCAGGTAAATAGATCTCTCTCTACTATTATGGTTCCCAAAAAAAAGAAAAAAAAGAAGGGTTTCGAACCTTTAATCTCTTCTGAAATCCTTTTGCAGCTTGTGATCTCCTTAAGTGATTGGATGCCGTTTTAACACCAGACGACAGATCTCATATAACGGATCCCTCGAACTTAGGTAACAACGATTAAAATCTTCCTTTTTCAATCTTGGTTTCAAATGGCTGAGGATGATGTGTTTTTCATGCTTTAATTTCTATTTCGTTTATAACAGAGCACGAAAATGGTATATTGAAAAAATGCTTCTGAAATTTTCGCTTTGTATTTGCTTTGTTTCGTGATCCCCCTGTTTCTGGTGGTTAATTGCTTATTAAAAACTGACCCCCACCTCCTTTACAGTTTCTTTCTGATATATTAAGAAAACTAAATCCATCTTTTGTTAACTCCCGATAACTGCTTTTAGTTTTCCAGGGAGTATTCACGTGGGCTTGAGTTGGGCCTTCAATTGCTCTGCTTTGGGTTTGCTCCGAT